AGTTTGTGTGATTGAGTATAAAAAGGCATGGCAACAACTCAGAAAGGGTGTCTTTGTATAGGCTGAAGTTGCCCTCTCAAAAGTTTAAGATCCATTACCATCCACTAGAACTTAAATTGGGAAGAGCCATTCAGCTGGGACTGTTTTTTCACCCAGTCATCCAACTCAAACTGAGGTTATTCATCAATATCACAGCACAAACAATGTGTCTCACGGGCTTTTTTGTCAAGAATATAAAGACTACAGGCAGTAATATGATGTGCTCTGCAAGTTAGTGCGAGATGGTTAACTTTGATAAAGGAATCAGCTGTACCAGATGTGGCTATGGCAGCTTGAGAGAGGGAGATTGTCCATCCAGGGTTCTCTCATAGATTGCCCAAGATGTGAAATGCTCCTATCTCAGTGTGTATTCCACCAAGTATCCTTATCAGCTTCGTTTTTTCTCCCATCTCTTGCCATTGTCCACTATTACTGCTTGAACAGTGCAAAGAGGGGCTGTTCGGCAGCAAGTACAGGTGTTTGGTCTGGGTTGATATAATTTGTTGACTTTATACACGTCAACATGAGAGACAATAATATTAGACTTTAAACTGACTTCAATATAACTAAAATGAAGAAAATTGTAATACAGTTCTGTTATACTTCAGAGTGCAGAAACACTCAGAAAATCAAGATGGATGACATGCCTCAATATATACCCACAAACCTTATCCCCACTTACATACCCCCTCCCCCTTCATATAACTCTTATTTCTACTTTCTACAACTTACATGTTGTTGAATCTAGAAACACTAACATTTTTATTCCAGATAACAGTTACTTAAGAATAAGCAAATTGGGTCAGCATGAATAAAATAATAACTAGACTTTGGAAATTGAACGAAGTTCAATTTCAGACTCCAGATCTAGACTTTTTTAAGCCCAGTCATCTAAAATAAGCCGAGTCAGAATAAGATGGATGGATAAAATAGGAAGGTAGAATAGGATAGAATGGGAAGGAACGATAGGATAGAATAAGAAAGAAGGATAGGATAGAACAGAATAGGAAGAAAGGATATGATAGGAGAGGATAGGAAGGATAGGAAGGAAAGGATACGAAGGAAGGATAGATAGGATCAGATAGGAAGGATGGATGAATTTTTCAATATTTTCTTCTTTACTCTTGACTTTCTATCAGGATACCATCAAATCGATTTTCCGAAATTTCAAAACACCATAACTTCCGACCCGGAAGTCGGATCTAAATTTGATTTGAAGATTCGGATTCCTGACAAAATTCTACCCCTAATTCATAACTCATACATTAAATTTGGCGAATTTTTATTTTGACCTACTTTTTGGACACGCCATAACTTCGGAACCGGAAGTCGGATCGAAATTTGGTTTGCAGATTCGGATTCCTGAGAAAATTCTATACTTAATTCATAACTCAAACGTTAAATTTGGAGAATTTTTTATTTTGACCTACATTTCGGACACCATATCTCAAAAGTGGGGCAAAATACTTTCTGACGGCAAAAGGCTCACACTATTAGCACACTCTTGGCTACATGTATACAAAATTTCTAGGAATATAATTAATCTGTAGTGTCAGAATCGCAAAAATAAGGAAAAACTTTGAATTTGACCTAGATTTTGACCTAGGCATTTTGGTGTCCAAATTTTGAAGCTAGATGGCTTTTGAGGTCCCATTCTTTTAAAGGCTTTCATTACATTTAGCTGAACTCGGTCTATATTTAGTATTTTTCACTTCAAAAAAATCTTTTTTCCCATTGACTTAACATGGGCACCAAATTTAGCGATTTTTGAGGTTTCAAAACGCCATAACTTCCGAACCGGAAGTCGGATCAAAATTTGGTTTGCAGATTCGGATTCCTGAGATCATTCTACACTTATTCCATAATTCACATGTTGAATTTGGAGAACATTTTGTTCTGACCTACTTTCCGGACGCCATATCTCAAAATCGGTAAGAGATATCAAAAAATAAAATCGACAATGTCCTAACCTACTTTTTTATTAGGAACACAATGAAAAAACCCCGGATCAAAAATATTGAAGGACGACCGAGAAAATCGAAAAAAGTGACAAAGTACTGGATTTGACCTAGTTCTTGACCTTTGACCTAGATAAAAATTTGACCCAATTTCCCACCAACTAGATACTAAACCTAAATGAACTGTATTATGGTATTTACTGGATACCTTATAGTTATTGAAAAAACTCAAAAAGAATAATAAGAATAAGAATAATAATAAGAATACTGGCAAAAACAATAGACTCCAGATTGACATCTGGAGTCTAATAATTATTAATTTATGTTTCAGTTTAATGCATATACCTATAGGTGGGGCTGCACAACACTCTTCTTTATTGGTTATAATGAAATATTTTGACAGATATGTTGAATGTTATCACTAAGCATTGATAAAATATAAACTTGTCAAATTTTATTGAAAAGAAGAAGTGAATAAGGGAATTGTTTATTATTTTGATGTTAATTTTGGTATAATTTTATCAAAAGGTGGCACTGTAAAAGCAATTTCTTATGTTTATACTTAATAAAAAACTGTTTGGTGGGAATATTATTAAATAATAACTGAAGACACTAATTTATCACATTTTATTGAAAGCAGAAAAAAAATTATCAAAAAAATATTCTTATTTGACGATTATTTTGGCGGCCATCTTGAATTTTAACCCCGAAGGAGTGAGAATCGTGCTTGGCAATGTGGATCGAGATCTTTAAAATATCCATATTAGTCTGTGTGCCGAAAATCTAACATTTTCATTACAGATAACAGTTATTTAAGAATAAGCAAATTGGGTCAGCATGAATAAAATAATAATCATTAATTTATGTTTCAGAGCAGTTCAATGCATATATACCTATAGGTGGGGCTGCCCAACACTCTTCTTTATTGATTATAATGAAATATTTATATTGAATATATGTTGAATATTATCAGTAAGCCTTGATAAAATATAAACTTGTCAAATTTTATTGAAAAGAAGTAGTGAATAAGGGGAATGTTTGTTATTTTGACGTCAATTTTGGTATAATTTTATCAAAAGATGGCGCTATTAAAGCAATTTCTTATGTTTATACTTAATAAAAAAATCATTTGGTAGGAATATTATTAGATAATACCTGAAGACACTAATTTATCACATTTTATTGAAATAAAGGCAGTAAAAAAAATTATCAAAAAAATATACATATTTGACGATAATTTTGGCGGCCATCTTGAATTTTCACCATGAAGGAGTGCGATTCGCGCTTGGCAATGCGGATCAAAATTTTTAGAATGTCCATATTAGTCTGTGTGCCGAAAATCTAAGAATATATATGATCGTGAACTATCACCATGTTAAAAACCCATTAGTGATTTGACTATTTTGCTATTTGTAAGTCAAAGTTTATATAAGCCTTACATTTTAGTTGCAGTGCAGTATTTTGTATATATTGTGAACAGTTTTTGGAGCAGGACTGTGTTTCCAACAGTGAAAAGCACATTGAACATACATTCTCAGTAAACAGTGTATATTCATTCTAGAAATATATTCACTCATGTGTTGTTTTATATTTATGGATGGGTTTTTGTTCTATTATCAATAATCTAGGAATGGAATAATTCTCCCTATAAGTAATACGAAATAAGTAAAGTGGGTTTAAGTTAAGGTTTTCAATTGAATGTCTAGTTTTAAGCAGTATTTTGACAACAGCCTGATTTTGTCAAAATACCTAACAACCAACTGGAAATACTATTATGCTTATAACTACCTTCAATACAGGTTGAGCTTGTAAAAAATCAGACTATTTATAATTAATAACTAACAAGAACTTTTAGTTAAACATGCACATATGCCTTTATTTATTTACATTTATGTTGGGATCAGAGCCAGAACAAGAAATATACATTCTTAGTATACACACTAAAATATATTTTGTACATGTTGTTAATTTGATGGCATAAAAGGACGATTCTCGGTTTGGAGAACAGTCTCCTGGGCTAATAATTTTTTTCATGAAAAATACAGAAATATTACCCAAATTAAACTATGAATATTCAAAAGGGAACATTTAAATCTACAAGATGTAAAAATAACAAATTGGTCTGAAGCAGGGATAACGCTCAATTAGACCGATTCACTAAAATACAAGTCTCGATTTGGGGAAAGAAGTTCATCAGTGTACTGCGCTAATATTTTTTTGCGAAAAATCTAGAAATATTACCCAAATTAAATTATGGCTATTCAAAAGAAGACATTCAAATCTATATTATGTAAAAATATCAAATTTGTCCGAAGCAGGGATAATGCTCATTTAGATTGATGAACTTCGTTCTCCAAACCGAGAATCGTCCTTTGACCATTTTTAAGAGCTTGGAAAATGTGAATAGATGGCTCTCATATCAAATGTTTTTACTAAAATGGTATGATTTACCTTAATGATATTCCATCTTTACAAATTGTAACTCTGTAGGTTAGCTTTAGTGCAAATGGCTATATAATCACGCGGTCCTAACTTCGACCGTTAATTTGAATTTTTGACCTACCGGATGTTTGAAAATCAAGGATTACGAGTCTCATACTGCACCGTTTTTCTTCAAACTTATACCATTAAAAGCAAAACAAAATTGCATTTCTGTAGGTGCATTACTTTATTGTAAAGAGTCCCTCGTTCTAGCAGCGTTTTGGTCCCCAGCTGTTAGAAGGCCTTCTTTCAGCTGGGGACCAAAATGCCGCTGGAAGTAGGGACTCTGTTTAAGAAAATAATGTACCATCAGTATGAGACTCGCAATCCTTGATTTTCAAGCATCTGGTAGATCAAAAATTCAAATTAACGGTCGAAGTTAGTACCGCATGATAATGTCACTTGCTTGTAAATTGCAAAAAGCTTTTGATGTGAGAGCTACATGTATTTTATCACGCATTCAGGTTTTTATAGTCTCTTTTAACACTGTTATGTATTATCACTATCTGACTAATGAGATATTTAACAGTCACTCTCATTTGGTTTTGGACCATGTCCACCAGTGCCTGTATCATGAACAATAGCATCTGTTTCTTTAACCATTTCAACATCGTTTAAAGCTTTTGAACTAGCTGCAATATTTTCAGGTTTCTCAACCGATCCTTTTGTTTTAACATCATCTATTGTTCCATAATTCTCAGCTAATTGATCATGTTCAACTAATGCCTGTTTATCAAGTTTTTCTTTCTTAGGTGATTTTTTGGTTGTACTTTGCTGCTCCAAATCGTACATTGGATTGTCAATAGTTAATACTGTATCTTTTCGATTGCTTTCAGTCACAGATTCTGACAGTAGGTGGGGCTTGTAAATGTATGTGTAAATCTTGGAGATTGATGTAATGACAAGCACTCCAAATACAAATGTTGTGATCCAAGATGCAATCTGAAATGTGTCCATATAAAGATCAAGATTTGTTTCAACATTTTTTTTAAATAGAATCCTGTTTAATTTAATTGTCAGATATTATTTCTCTGTATGCTAACATTGGTTTGGGATATTGGGGTTTTGTTTTCTTAATGACTAGTGTTCTTATTTGAAAATGTTTCTTTTTGTTGCTATGCTTAACTCTTTTGACTTATTATTGATTGTTTGTTTACAAATGCAAATAATTGAATATTTAAGTTAATATTGAAAGTAGTAGGTATACCTGTGCTATCGTTATGTTTACATAGAATCTTTCTCCATTAGGAACATCCCATTTGAATTCCGATATTTGTTGACAGGTATAGGGTCTGAAATTAAATTTTTGTTTTGCAAACATATTCCACACATCGGGTCACTATGGTAACATACTGTTGCCAGGGCAACATCAGGTCTTTAGAGAAATCAAACAACTTAGTAACACAATGTAGCCAGTCTTACATTAAGTCACTATGCTAATATACTGTTGTCAGGGTAACATTAGGTGTTATAACAAATGGTATCATATAATATTTTAGCGGGGAAGGACATCGAATAACTCAGTATCATTTTGTTGCAGTACCAGGCCACTGTGATAACATATCGTTGTCAGGGCAACATCAGTCACTATGGTTACAATCATCAAAGTTACATCATGTCACTATGGTCACATCATGAACTCAGTGTTGCAGATATTGATTGATGATTGATTTATTTAAATTACTTCAACTATAATATCATGGGCTTTCAATTAGATGAAAGCCCATGACTATATCAACTGTTTCACAGTATTTCGTATCTTTAAAATCCCCCAAATTTAGGACCTTTACTTACACTGGTGTCGGACTGCGGTTCCCTTGAGGCACACTGTTACACCATACAGCAAAGCCAAATGATATACGGAGACTTGCCACAAAGGAACATATGAATATAACTCCATCCATCACAACAGATCCTATTAGCAAACGAATTCTGCTCCTGATATTAGAAATGAATATAAACCATTATTTTGCAGAATCCATGATTTTATGACTATTATGCCGTTATGACTGGCTAATATTTTTGTATTTATTTTCAAATATGCCTCACGCTACCTTACTCTTGATGTAAAATCGTATGGCCTCATAACATTATAGAAATCATGGGAATTAATGATGTCCGATTTTAGAATTCAACCTACCAGTACGTGATATCTGTGCCACTATAGAGAACGAAGAACCATCCCCAAATGACAGCATAAATGGAAATGAAGACACTGAGATACGTACAATACCAACATATATCAATAGGTGCCCATTCCATGCTCAAACTCTGCATATTCAATGTGGTACCATTCTCTATATTATGTGATGTTTTATATACCAGCTTGGTGAATAGGATACAGTTCCCACTGAAGTCCATGGTGCACTGGCTGAGTGGTATTGCAACAATTAGCCCAAGTGCAATTAGAATAGCATAAAATGCAACTTGGCTCCATCTTAATCCTGTTGTTTTGTTGATCTGAGGCATAGGCATTTTGCAACTACGTGTAGGTAAGTGTCATTATTGATTATATATATTTATATTGTATGTGTTCACACTTCAATGTACTCTGTACTTAAGATAATATTGTGCTGTTCTAGTTACACATTTTATCTATCTTTTTCTTCATGAACAATGTTAACAAAATGATGGTATTGTATGACATCCTGATACTGGTATCTGAGTTGATTAATTTTTTTTTGAAGAAGATCACATACTACATATAACATAAACAACATATATCTAAAGTGACCTTTTGGCCACACTTATTTTTAAACACTTTATCTACCTACATTCACCTTGCAAGCACTCCATATTCTACGAGTTAGCAAAGTTTGTATTGTCTATTGGTGCCTTGGTGTTTTATTTTAGTTTTTGGCAATTATTCGAGTTGCTTTATTTTCCATTTCAGTACATCTCTACGATGTTAAATGATACTATCATTATCCTAAGTGGTATTTCTCTATTGAGTCAGTCTTGAACCTTTTAACAATGGCCAGCCTCTATATTATAATACACCAATCTGATGTTTGTATTATTCTGCTAAATATATATTCCAAAAAATATTTATTGGAACTGAGATTCAGACCCGGGGATTCCGAGATGGTTTTAGCCAACAGGCAACGCAGACATTGTTATATACATGTAACATGTACACAAAATGCACATTTTTACTGAAAATATTGTTTACTTGAAAATACCTTGCTAGGGATGTGTAATTATTAACTTTAGTATCATCGCGTTGTGTCATCTTTTAATGACGATCGTATTTGTGACAATAATTCCTCAATAAAGATATGCGAGGTCGACCAATTGTATAGTTTCTAAATAGCTGAATAACGCTGACATAATAGATGTCACCCTTGTTTGTCTTTGATTTTCTTGGGCCACACCTCCATTCAGTTCAATGCTAGAAACTTGCAATAGTCACTTAATTTCATGATTTGTCAAAAAGTGTTGGTTGAATCTGTCTGAAACTCGAATGGCATACTATCGGATGATACTGTTATGTACATATTGTAATGAAACATGAAAATGTTGGTTGTCATACGAATAAGCCAAGGTTTTAATGAATCTTAGCATTGCACCAATGGAGATTTGGCCCAAGTTTTTTTTAAATGTCATGGAAAATGATTTAAATGACATAACTGTGTAAATCAAACTTATTATTGGAGAAAACTTGTCACTGAATTCAAATATGCTATCAAAAATAAAGAAAGGTAAGTCATTAGAGGTAAAAAGTGCAAATCTCTAAAAATCTCATGAAAAAACGAGATTTAGCGGGATTTAAAGCTATTTAGAAACTACTCTATAAGGCCAGGTTTTATTTGTGTGGCATTCCGAAAATCTGGTCTTCAATATTTTATTGGTAGGTGGAAAATGAACGGGTCTCTCTTGATAGGTGCTACATGTACCAGAAAGAGCTCATAAAAGTGCATCCAGTTTACGTAGTCATCTGGAACTTCTCGTGAAGTTGCTTCATGGAGCCTAATTTCAATGTTCTAAAGACAAGTCATCAGAAATCATGCAGTAAAAATTCAACATTATGTAGGTGGCACGTTTTGTGTCACCCTGTATTGGATATCAATAAATTCAAACCTTTGCTGCTTAAATAGTAGCAATTTCAAACAATAACATGGCAGTCTGGCCCAACCAAAACATATTCTGTATTGCTACTGAGATTGTCCCCTCTTTACCAATATTTTCCAGGGGCGGATCTGGGAACCAAAAAGGGGGGGGGGGCAAATTTTAGGTCAGAAAAAAAACTTCCGCGCTTGCGAGTAAAAAAAATTGGGCCCCTAAACCCCAAAAGTGGGCCGAAATTTTGAAATTTTGAGGCCCATTTTTGGCCTGAAATTAAAAAATAAGGCCTTAAGGCCTTTTTTGGCCCAAAAATCTTTTTAGCTCCAATTTTTTTCTGGGCCCAACCAAGGGGGGTAGGACCAGCCCCCAGATCCGCCAGTGTTTTCTGTATTGCGACGGAGATGCTCAAGGGGGACAATCTCAATACCAATACAGAATGGTACAGCACAAGAACTGAGATTTTAAGCTTGCATATAAAATCGAAACGGCAACCTAATGGAATATGTTTACGTTACGTGTAAAGTGCTCAGCTTAAAGCACTTTTGTTCATAGTACGTAAACGGGAACATAAAGGTTTAGATAAGATAAGTAATGGTTGCCATAGTAACGGGAAATCAGGTCACCCGGGGCAAATAAAAATAATTAGGAGAATGAGCTTAACTCACCATGTTTACATTCATAATAAACTCTCATGAATTATCAAACACATTAAAATGTTAATTTGAATATGTTGTTAAATACTTTTACTATAAAAGAAATTGAGCATGTGAACTGTGTGATATCATAGGGGAGGCTTACATGCTTCATAAATATGATACCAGACTTTGAGAATCAAAGCTTAATGATCAGAAATGACTGAGTAAGATAATGCATAGATGCAGAGCTCATCAGAAAAATAAATTCCTACTGATAAAAAGTTCAGTTAAGTTCGAAAAATCCTTTGCTCATACTAAAGATGATCTAAAACAAATTTGTTGCAAAGATATCAACAAAAGTACATCCTATGTATGGTCTAAACACATTTAAGATGAACTAAAGGGGAACATCTACTTTCCTAGAAATATTTGACAAAACAGTTTTGGTGTCTAACATCACTTCTACAAAACATTCAAGAACACATATGATATTTAAAGATTTGATGTGTTTCATAGCTTATTTGATAACTTATTATGCATTTAAACATGGGGCTATTCTTGCACGATTTTTTATTTGCCCCGGGTGCCTTGATTTCCGGTTACTATGGCAACCATTTCTTAAATAATAGTTCTGTTATACCAAATTTTTTTTTTCATAAATTAATACAGCATTCTATACTACACATTCTAAATATATTGAAAAATAAAAAAATTAGAGAGATATTATGACCATCAAAATGTCTTAAATGTATTGCTTGATTTTACGCAGGTGTTTTAGTTGACATTTAATCAAAGTAATGCTTTATAGATCGTATAATTATTCCAGGAAAACCACTTATAGATTCCCCTCAAGTAAAGCCTGGAGTCTACTTTTTGACATTTTTCTTATTCTCATTTGACTCCTCTCTATTTTAATTAATAAAAAATATGTCTACCATTTTGGCGCAAAATCTTTTTGTGTTCAGCATTAAGTAAATGATCTGTATTAAATATAAATGAAGTGAATCCATGGCCAAATCGTAAAGCGACCACTGGGGAAGAAACGATGAGATGTGGTGTGAATTATAGGGGACGCTGTTGGACATAAAAGTAATTGTGCGCGTAATACACACTACCCTACCACGTGACCACGTTTAAAAGGGAAACAGGGTACAGCTAAGTTGCAAATGGAGGACGTGGGTTTAATTCCATATTTCTGAACGTAAAATACATTTTACATTTATTTCTAGTGTTCTACCAGACATAGAATTGATTCATCAAGCAGTGTGTAGAATATTGTTGGCAAAAAACCACTATAGGCAAAGATAGATAATAGTCGGCGCAGTGAAGCAAAACTCAATGCAATACACGATACATTTCAGTAAATCTGTCAACGTACAGGGAGCATGTCAGTTTCCCTTCGAAAATGTTACATTGATATGTAACAAAACCCCAGTAAACTGTTATTTAAACTGCGTGTCATCGTGTTATATGTGGATACGTTTTCCAGTATGTTATTCAACTGTACTTTTGTGAATTAATTGTTTTTCTAAAATCTTAAGATGCAAAAAAGTCGTCCCAGAAATGTATCTTTACTTTGCCGTAAGGCATAACATATTGTGAAACATTTTTTCCTCTTGTCACAAGGAGGATAATGTTTGTTTCGAGGTGTCTTGTGATGAGCGTTTCATGATTAAATGCAAAATCACTGGAGCAGATACCATCCAAAAACATCTGACATTCAACACGTCATATAAGACTACATCGATCTGGTATTAGTTTTTTTACAATAATAGAGAAATACGACGTCATATCACCTCTACAGCAAATCGTGAAGAACAAAATGTCGTGGCATGATGGTATTTTGAACAAACTATTTTAAATGATCGGTTTTTGAGGACGTTAGTGAATTAGACCATTCAAGGGGTTATATAGAAAGATTCTTTACATGTAGTTCACGCAATTTTAATTATTCTGAATAGCGGATAGTCATTAATCCTGATAGCCGATAGTCATTTATCACTTACGTGTTTATATTTAATTTCGTTATTTTATTTCAATTTGATACCCTAGTAACACGTATTATCTAGCGTTCTTGTTAATTTAATGACTAAAATGCATATACGACCTGAAAGCCCGTGTCTAAATCTACTAAATAATTTTACTTTATTTGGATTAAATAACAATTGATGACACCTCAAAGCATCAACAGGCGGCCTTTTTAGCATTATTTTCACTGTTTGCAACGTAAATATACATGAGATCGGGACATAGTATGTCTGTATAATCAGCTTACTGTCTCGCTCCCTGTACTATTGAACAATTTACATTCCTTGTACCCTGTATTGATCAACTTTTGCAGCTGTGTACCGTGTACTATGACATATCAAATATTTTAAAATTTAAAACGATATTATTTACATTCTTTCTTCAACTATCATATAACTTGGAACATGGACTTCACTATTGCACCACTGAAGTTCAGCGAATAGCAATATTGACTCACTCCGAGCACCAAACGTATTAACCTTTTCACTAAGCAGTCGATATACTCAAAAGCGACCTGATTGAAAGCCAAAAAATTCGCGCATGCGCTATCGAGGTAGGGTAGTGTGTAATATGACACTAATGAACAGAACTTTAATTTGGAAAATCTGCTTTCACTTTTATGTTGCTTAAACCTTCTGCTCATAGAAAAAAGTCATTACATTGGAGAAATTCTACCGTACGGCTTCAATTCTTAAAGATACATGCTTGAAAATTCTGAACCAAAAATAGATTTGTGACGTCACAATTTATGCAA